AGGACGCAACACTCCTGAGCATGTAGCAGGTCACCCTTGATTATCAACCAGCAATCTTGGGCCCCCCCTTCAAACTCTGCTTCAGAATACGGGATTCTCTCTTACCTTTGGCATTTTTTGTGAAGCAAACTTTAATTTTTCTGATCATTAATAATATTTGGAATGTGTTTACTCATTTTTTCTTACAGAGAAGTCAGGTATAAATTTACTGTCTGCAGCAAATCAATTAGATCATGTTAACCTCAAAAAATCATTTATATAGGCTAGATTGCAGTGGGATGGTCGCTGTTAAGATAGCATGCAGCAGGCTATAAGGAGCTATATTCCGTGTCCATGTGTGTTCAAGGAGAGTGCTGTAAACTTTGCACTGTATGTCTGTAACTCATGGCACTGGGAGTCATTAAAATGTGGGATGTGTAACATCACCACTGCAATGAACTGACCTCAGTTATGATACAGGAATGCAATTGAAACTACAGCTTCTTAGTGGCATGTACATGCCTGTCAATACTGCAACTATTACTGCTGTAGAAGGACTCCAAGGCAGAAGGACTCCCCCTATAGCAGACACAGAAATGCCTTGAGATCTTCTTCTGTGGATGTCACCTCTGGTGACACAGGAGCTTAATTAAATCCTGACCTCTGCTACCTTCAGCCGCTTGTGGAGTGTCCTGAGAAAATAAGGCAAAACAATGTTGGGTGAGAATAGAGCTGTAAACCAGAGTACTTCATCTTTATTCCTTGGCTTACTCTCAGTGGAGTACAGGTGAAATACTGCTGTCTGTCAAAATCATCAGTAACCCCACTTGGTCATTGCTTTGCCCTTGGTATTCCAGCCCTTATAAGGTTAACCTGAGGAGTTACACTGTGTTATTTCCTAGATTAAAGCTGGAGACAGGCAGCTAACGTAACTGACCATGGAGTTTGGACTTTTTCTTCCAGGCTGCCAGCTGGCACACACTGTAAGTGGGTAACAAATGTTGTTGTTAGTTGGTGTCCAGCAAGAAGCTGCTTCTGTTGCCCTTCCTGGAGAACTGGGTTCCATATTCAAGAAAACAGTCATTTGTCATGTTTCTCATATATTATATGTGAAAGATTATATTTATACTCCTTTGAAGGTGGAAGGACATTCAGATTGCCTGAAAAAAACCGCATGTGCTGCACTCATTCTGTGAATAAATCAAGCACTTCAGTCTCTGGGTTGATCAGCCCAGCTTCTTCTAAAGTCATTACATGTCCCTACTGACACATTTAATTTTTCAATTTAGAAGCTGAATAGACATTCCTAGATGTTAGAGCTTGCAGACATCTTTCAAATAAAGGCAGAGAGTTTCAGCTTCAAAGTCACAAACTACATCAGTTGTTGCACCCTTCATTTTTAGTCATGATTCTCTTATTTCATTGGTATATATTACTTGCAAATCATCAAACTTGGCTTAAAATCTGGATGTGATGTAATGTTTCATGTTTACTCAGAGCAGAAATACAGCAGCCTACAGTAATCTAATTTCTTAAGGAACTAGAGATGCACATACTTTTTTAATTAATAAAGAGTAAGAGAGATAATGTCTGTCATGGTTTTGTAATGAATTACAATGGACCGATAATCCTATGAGCACTGAGAAAACCCTCAAGATTTTCAAAGTGAATAGACCTTTTTCATAAATATCCCTTATATGTGTTACTAAATACAAGACTCATGAATGTTAACTTTCTCTTACACAGCTATCAAATACGACAATATAGATGTGTTTGGTTACACAGCCTGGTCACTCCTTGATGGCTTTGAATGGCAACATGCTTACAACATCAGGCGCGGATTGTTTTATGTAGATTTCAAAAGCGAAAAAAAGGAAAGGATTCCCAAGTCATCTGCACTTCATTACAAACAAATCATACAAGAAAATGGCTTCTTCCCAAGGGAGTCCACGCCAAGCTTGCAAGCTCAGTTCTCATGTGACTTCTCCTGGGGTATCACTGAGTCTGTTCTCAAGGTAAGTGCAAGGCATTGGGAAGACCACTGGAGGCAGAGGGATCAGCAACTTCACTTTGTGCACAAACGACTGTGCACGGCACCTTGTGTTCAGGAATCTCAATGCACACTGCACACACAAGTTAAGCCTAGCCATAATTGCATAGGTTCAGTTTTATGTACTTCGCAGCTGGGCACAGAGTGCTGGGTGCTTCTGCAGCAGCAGACCCTGCTGCAGGAGCCCTCCCAAGGCTGGCCCTCTCTCACCTTCCCTCTGCTTGGGTCTCCATGTGGCAGATCAGATCAGGAAATTTCAGACTAAGAAGCTGACCCCAAGCGATTGTTCCTGGGTTATTTTTCAACCAGGGGAGTTTCCCAATCCAGTTGCAGTGTGGCCATACGAATGCCTACAACAGCATGGCGGAGAGGGTGGCACGGGGCAGGGACATGGTGGTTATGCTGGTGGCAGCAGAGCTACCTGCAGGCTCAAGGGCTTGTCTAAAGCTACTGGACAAGGCAGAAACAAATTCCTGGGTTGAGCCCGGCTCTGAGTGCCACTTACACAAGTGGGTCCAAGCCATTCTTTAAAAAGATTTATACCATAAAGATAACCAACACCAGCACATTGGAATAAAGAAAATAATCATGTGCTACACAGAACCTTGTTAACTACTAGGAGACAGTAAAGATACAACTAAATGCTACAAGCTGGTTATGTCAGATATTTGCATAGGCAGAAGGACCAGGGAACACTGTGCCACAGTTCCTCAAGGTTGGTCTCAGCAGTAGTGCCAAAATAATCCATGCCTGCCTTGTATACCCCCTGGTGCTTGTTCTTACCACCCTGCTCTCCCACCAGCTGCCTGAGAACTCCTGTTTGCATGACCACAGGGTGAGCTCGATGAGGGAGATAGATAGATACCTGTGTGAAAATACATGTCATGTAGGCTGGTGGCTGGGCAAATGCCAGTGTGTAGCTGAATGGAAAAGTGAGCGCAATTGTAGCGTTTTCAGCAGATGAAGGAACAGAACAGGTAAGCCAACCACTAGCACAAAGCTGATATAGGCAGGTCGGTTATTCTCTTTCCTTCTGAGCATCCAAGCAGGATCTTCTGACATCCAGCACTAATCCCATAGCCAAACACAGGCAGAAAGGCAGACTACAAGCAGGCATTCATTTAATTAAACCCTGTTGTAACATACCATTTTTATTGTCACAGGCAGAATCTGTGGCTTCCTCACCGCAGTTCTCTGATTCCAGCCTGTACCTCTGGAACATCACAGGAGACGGGCTCCTGCACAAAGTTAAAGGGGTGAAGTTAAAAACCCGACCAGCACAGTGCACAGATTTTGTCAGTATTAAAAAGCAACTTGACCTCCTGGAAAAGATGAAAGTCACTCATTACAGATTTGCACTTGACTGGTCGCTCATTTTACCCAATGGAGATTTGTCAGTCATCAACAGGCAAGTTCTCAGGTACTACAGATGCGTGATTAGCGAAGTACTGAAACTCAATGTTCAATCCATGGTCACCTTGTATTATCCAACTCATGCCTACCTGGGTCTGCCGGGTCCTTTGCTGCAGATAGGAGGATGGTTGAACCAGTCTACTGCCTATGCTTTTCAAGACTATGCAGCTCTATGTTTTCAGGAACTTGGTGATTTGGTTAAACTTTGGATTACAATAAATGAGCCTAACCGGTTAAGTGATGTCTACAACAGAAGCAGCAATGATACATACCGGGCAGCACACAATTTATTGATAGCACATGCCATGGCCTGGAGAATATACGATGAGCAGTACCGATCCTTTCAGTATGGCAAAGTGTCCCTGTCCCTGCATTCAGACTGGGCTGAGCCTGCCAACCCCTACTCTGAATCCCATTCAAAAGCTGCCAACAGGTTTCTTCAGTTTGAAATAGGCTGGTTTGCCAATCCCATATTTAAAACTGGGGACTATCCAGCTACTATGAGGGAATACATCAGCTTTAAAAACAGAAATGGCCTCTCACACTCTTTGTTGCCGTCTTTCACAAGCAAGGAAAAGCAGCTCGTCAAAGGTGCTGCTGACTTCTATGCACTGAATCATTTCACTACCAGATTTGTGGTTCATGAACGTCAGAATGGGAGCCAGTATGAATTTGATCGTGACATTCAATTTCTGCAGGATATCACCTGCCTGAGCTCCCCTTCTCGTCTGGCAGTTGTGCCTTGGGGACTGCGCAAAGTTCTCGGGTGGATTAAAAACACCTACGGCGACATCGATATTTACATCACAGCAAACGGAATAGATGACCAGTCCTTAGACAACGATGAACTTCGAAATTATTACTTGGGAAAATACGTACAAGAGGTTTTAAAAGGTGAGTATAGGACAAATTCAAGTTCCCCAGAGCCATTTCTGTGGCACAGAGCCAGCTATTCCTTAAGCAAGCACCTAAGACTTGCTCTGGACAGAGCAAGCAGCTCTGGTTGAGGTTCAGGAACTGGCCATTGGCATTAAGCCTCGAGGGGCCCATGTCCACAGTCACATGCAGGGCACATACAACACGAAGCAGTGTAAATAAAACCCCTCATGTGAAATACAGCCACAGCTGCTTCCAGTTTAAACTATGTGAGAAGCCATGTGGGCATGCATATAGAGCAGAGTAGTTACCCAGTAGAAGGTGGCACTTCAGACCAAAAATTCTGAAGGGAGAATCCTAATTTCTACTCTACAAAGAAAGGTGGAAGCATCCTTACTTGCTAACTGAACTAGAGTCGTTGGACAGGGAAGCACAAGCAAGTCCAAGGAGACCTGGAGGGATATAGAGAAGAAATACAGCAGGTCACCAGATTTTTAAGGAGCTGCTGTTGAGGGGAGAGTCGAACTCTAGTTCCTGTTGCACTGTTTGCTTTCTCCTGGGCACCAACAGAAACCTAGTTCTTCACTTTAGAGAAAAATTAGTTGTGGAGGTAGAGGACAAAATTTTCAAGGCGATGATCTTCAGCAATAGCTTATTGTATGAGAAACGCTGCCGGGACCTCACCCCTCCCATCCCTCTTCCTCCAACCAAACATAAAGAGGAAAGCAATGAGCCTCAGGATACCAGAAAGGCCTTGGTACCTGAACTGCACAGCCAAAATGAGACACACAACATACCCCTGCACTCACTATTCTCTATTGGCAAGCACTAGGAAGTTCTCTGATCAGGACATGGGGCCTCTAAAAGCTCTTCTGTGGCACCTGTCCCCAGCCATAGTCTGTGTATCCTGGTTTCTCCTCTCTAGGACCTAGCTATGTAAAAAATGAGACAGGTTGTACTCATAGCCAAGCCTGGCTTCAGATTACTTTTAGACACCAAGAAGAAACAGAGCATTCCCTCTGCAGTGCTTAGCTCTTTCTCAGTTACTAGAGGACTAAGGAGCATTTGCTGATTTATTTTCCACACTAATTTCACATGGCAAACAAAAGAACAGGAGGTTCTTAAAGGAAGTAAGTTATTAAAGGTTGTTTAAAGGGCTCTTCATCATAGTACTCTCATTTAAATTTTCAGATAGCGTGACACTTTATAGTACTCTCAAAATGATCCCCCCAACGTACAATGTTCTTGCTTAATCTGGGTCACATCCCTGACCATGCTCTCTGCTTTGCCATGAATTGGAGAGATGTTTACTCACCAAGGACTGCTATTTGATCCCATTATTTTCACCCAGCACTTGGGTGCAGCAGTCTAACATGCAGTCATGTGCTGTGGGGCTGAGCAGCTGAGTTTGGAGCAGGGTGGGAACTTTCGGAAAGCTCCTCTCATGGCACAGATGAGCAGCTGCTCTCCTTGAGTCATTGCAGGTTCTGCTGGGTTCCGTAAAGAGCAGCATCTGACTTTTCCCAGGAAAGCAAGCTCCCAGCTCTTGCCCTGTTCAAATCCAGCTTTCGCAGAGTAGGTCCAGAAAATTCCCCAAACAGTGATGTGCTCTTTCTACTTAAGACAGCTGGGAATTATTAAAAGCAGTAAATGTAAGTATTTTTTGATGCAATTACACTTTTTAAATCAATAGATTAATAATTTGCAATCTGAACCTACTACCAGGAAGCTTGCAGGTTGTACAGTGTTTTATTAACATTTGGGTTTGGTTTTTTGTTCCCTTTCTCAGCATACTACATTGATAAAGTCAGCATTAAAGGCTACTATGCATTTAAGATGACTGAAGAAAAATCTAAGCCCAGATTTGGATTCTTCACTTCAGATTCAAAGGGGAAGCCTTCAATAAAATTTTACAATAACCTGATAAGCAACAACGGCTTTCCTGCTGCCTACTCAGCCCCTGCTGACTCCTCAGCCTGCAATCCCTCCAGCCAAGAAAAGCAGTGTAGCTTCTGCTTGTTCATCTCTCAGGAGAAGCCGTTAATATTCTTTACCTGTTGCCTTTTCTCTACCCTTATCTTGCTTTTAACTATTATTTTTCTTCACAAAAGAAAAAGAAGAAAACGTTTTAAGGCAAAAACCATCTGGTGAATCCGTGTTTCATTCTAAGAGGGCACAAGCCCCCTTTCAGTGAGATCTGTCACTGCATTCTACAGAGGACAATACAGATCAGACAACTGTGGAAAAGTACCTCTTGAGTCACTCCAGTCATACACACCAAGCATTTTGTTCAACAGTAATTGTGTACGCAGGAAGAAGTCCTACAATGACATTTGTTCCCAGAGAAATTTCCTTTATCCACCTACTCTACACAGAAGATAAATTTGTCTATTTAAAAAAAGGAAAGAACATTTTATGACTCTCCTGTGCCTTGGAATAACCTTTCAAACAGTTTGACTTGAAAAGAGATCTTAAGCTGTGAGAACTGATATGCACTTTTCTACAAACCTCTGGACAAAGGGCCTTGTGATGTGTATTCATGTGATATATGTTGCCGAGCATGAAACTGCAGTTGTTAACAGTTTACAAATAAAAGTGTTATTAAAGCCCACAAACTTTCAGCTAACTGCAGCACGAAAAGCAAAATGGCCTGGGCTGGTTTCTGACAATGCCTCTAAAAGAACAAAACCAAGTGAATTCATTATCGACCAGTGTACCCCTATCTCTTACATACTGGGTGAAGTAGAGATCAGATGTTAACATTTTAAGCACATGTAACTGGACCCACAGGGGACAAGTCCAAACAACCCAGTTACTGCTTTTTGTCTCCAAAATGAGGCAGCTGTAAAAACTTTTACTAGTAGAGACCATAAAAATAAATAGTAACTATTAATCCACTCATGGGAGTGATTAATAGAATTCTAAACTGCACTTCTTTCATAGAAATAAATACGTATTCTCACTTTAGCTCTGCTCAACTGCCAGTGCAAGCCATGAGCGGGCTAAAACCATGAGAGTTCATTGCTATGGCTGCATTAAGCAAAAGCTACCAACCTGGGCATAATGTTCTTAAAGGATAAATGAACCTGCCATCTCATGTAGGCTTTTCAGGGACCAAACCCAGAGGTTTCCCCTTGGTCTGGTTTTGGTCATCTCAAAATGAGCCCAACACATTTTTCCCCTGTGAAATGCACTACCATTCAAAATTCACCCTGCCCAGGCAGGTACCACACACCTCTGGAGACAGGTAGCGAAGCTGCGCTAGAAATAGAAAGAGGGGCAGTTGAATTCCCACTGCCTTCCTGTCTCACAACCTTCTTTTCCAGTGGCTAGTACCACTTTCAAGACTCAATGAAACCCCCAACCAGCTCCCACTAGAAGCTAGTTACCTCAGTCTTATGGTCCCCAAAACACAGGGACACACTTTATGCTGTACCCCAGTACCTCTGATGAGGCATGTAAATACAATGCCAACTGCATCTGAGCACACAAAATAGCATCAAACACAAGGTAAATGACAATGCATTATGGTAATAAGCAATGATGTAAACGATAGTGTTACAGCCACGTAGTAACAGACTACTAGGGACATTGTGGAAGTGCTACTTTGAGGATAGGTGCAACTGATTGAACCCCAAGCTCCCAATACTTGTCCCAGTCTTGATTGTCAGTTCATAAATGCATGAGATTGTTTCTCTACTGTATTTCAGGTATTGGTCAACATTACAGAAGGCTCATTAATTCAAAAAGTAAGTACTAGTAAAATGATGAGGCACCCTGGTCCATTTCACACTATGAAGTGCTCTACGGTCAGAGAACAGCACAGTTGTTAAAGGACATCACCCAAAGACACTGACTAGTTACCATTCAGAACTGCAGAACCAAACTGAAGCATGCTGCAGGGAAACTCCAATTCCAAGTGTGCTGCGGGAGCTCAGAGAATTTTGGAAGACTCCTCTAGCATTTCCATTTATCAAACTCTGCAGAATCACACAAGCAGGTGCTTTGGGAAATTGTCTGAATTTTAGGCATGCCTAGATACCTTCCTCAATAGTAAGCTTTAACCACTTGTTACCAAGTAGGTTTCTGCACCATCCCAGTATTTTGTGTGAACTCTTCCAAAATGGAATGCAACAAGTGACAATGTGGATTTTACTGTAGCACAAAAATCACACAACACCCCAATTACATGTTGCTACACATGATCAGTAACCAAGAAATAAACAGAACTCTATCCCTAGATGACACAAAGCACTGTTGGTGGAACTCGGCACTAAGCTCTCTCTGCACTCTGAGGTCAAGTCCTTGGTTTCCTTAGCTGAGCAATATTGCTAAAGCATCATATTTTCATCCTACTTCTATTCTGTTTTAAGTTTAAATGGCCTTATAAACCTTGTTCTACTGATCCCAGTTTTGGTTTTTATCTACTTCAGATTCTGTCATCACAAGTCTGAACTCTCCTCCAGAAAATGTACTGGGAAATCAGTTTTTGCAGGCTGAGGTTCTGAAATGATGTCAAAGAACCCTAGTTCCCTTCTGTGAGAACAAAGCTTTTGCCATTTCTTAAAGCTATGATTTAAAACTACCATTTCATGGCTTTACACTGTGAGTCCACACTTGTAGTTCTTGGGAGGGAAAAAAAAAAAAAAGAAAAAGAGAGAGGCAAAGATATGAAATACGTTATATTTTATTAAACCTCTCATGGTGTTTGAGATCAGATTCTTCAGGCTGGCACTTGCTGATATAATGTGTCATGATGGTTTGTTTCAGGATCCAGACAACTGCAAATGAAAAAGTAAAGAGCTTTTAGCAACACTAATAGCTCAAAGAATTAGCTGAATTTTATTCAGATTACTTAAAGATGCCTTCAAACACAACAGCTCCGGTTTAGCAAGCAGGTAACAAGCTGTTGTCACTCAAGGAACTCAGAACAGCATTAAAAATAATCTTTTCAGTAGCTTGCAAGTGTTAAAAAAGTTTATGCAACTCCCTTCCCGTGCATCCTGTCTCAAGCTCAGGTTCAGAAGGCACACAACATTTATTTTATTTGCAATTCAGCCTGTCTCATTCTGCACAAGTGTCCTGTACCATGTATGAAACCACAAGTAGCTGAAACGTATCAAACTCCTTTAGCAGTTGAAGTTCTTAAGTTATCCCAAACCCCTTGTACTCATCTTCAGTAACAAATCTACATCCACAATGTAAATAATCCTTTCTGAACTGATCTTTGTTTACAAGGATTTATACACAAACTACACAGAAGACCTTTACGCATAAATTACGTGCTGAACACTGTTTTTAGTGAAGGCCATGTTCAACCAGAAGGAACATGAGCCTAAGAGAGTCTGCTCTGTAAACAGCTGTAAACCTGTCTGTCATGCTAGGTCAGCTGGGCTGAAATTCTCTGCCACCATCGTAATGAGCCTTCGCACCACAGAATACAGCTGTTTGGAGTCACGTATTTCTCCATACAGTAGCATAATGCAAGTTGATCATAGAATCAGATCACAGACTCACAGAATGGTTTGGGTTGGAAGAGACCTTAAAAAATCAAGTTCCAACCCACTCCCTGCCACAGGAAAGGACACCTTCCACTAGATCACGTTGTTCCAAGCCCCATCCAATCTGGCCCTGAACACTGCCAGGGATGGGGCAGCCACAGCTTCTCTGGGCAGCCTGTTCCAGTGCCTCACCAACCCGACAGTAAGGAACATCCCATGATGAGAGATGGAAAGTTGCTGATAGAAGATCTAGCAAAATTTAAGTTGGTGACACTGCTTATAATGCCCTTTACAAGCACAACTGCATCCTTTTCAGGAACCCACTTAAACACAGCCTAGTGAAGTAGATAAACCTTGTCAAGTCCCCAGATCAAGTAACCACAGAAGATGCACAGTCTGTGTCAAAATGATACCAACCTATTAAGAGTTTTACTCATCTGCCTGCTGTACTGTTCCTTTCTCAGAGACATAGATACCATCCAAGAATTTCCTGATATCCTTGTTCTTGACTGTAGTGGCTTGCTGGATCAGGGCAGCTGCAGACAAAGCAAGAGCATAAGCACAAAGCAAGAGGTCCACACCAACTCATAGCCTTTGTTTACTCTCCAATGTTTCAACTAACATATGAAACTGTCATCTGGAGAAACGAATTACCAACCTGAAATACTGACACATCTAATGACAACAGGATGCATTTCACTTAACCTGTCTCAGCAACTCAGGACAGTGACAGTTTATTACCACACACCCGTGCAACTGAAAAGCTGAAGAGTTTGGTGACAAACAGGCCATCAAGATCGACTCAAAAAAAAACCCCAGAAGGTTCTGTGGACTTGAAGCAATTACAATGAGTAAAATTCTGAGCTGTCGTTTACCTCAGGGTTTAAGAAAAAAAGACAGCTTGCTAAGCTGACATCTTCAGACAAAAGCAGCCACATCATTATGTCTTTCAATCCATCTACTTTCACAAACCTGAATTGGAGACCAATTCAATGTCATTCCCTTCAAGGATCAGCTCATCTTTCTGGGCTTGAGATACTGCACAGGAAACACCTACAGAAAGGAAAATGCACAATCCACATTGTTGGTGAAGGCACTAGTGTACTAAAGAAACAATACTCATGTCCTATCCCAACTTAGAGCTCTAGAAAACAGCATGCTAGGCAGTAATTAGCTTCTGTGATTTTGTTAAAATAGTCCCCCAAATCCCTTCCAGGGTTGTCAACCCTCGCAGAGTTTCAGAACTCAAAAGATCAGTGCAATTCATGCTCTGGATTGAAATCAGCCACTTGATATCCCTACTTATATGTCACCATAACCCAGCATTAATCACCAACACTGCATACAAGCCAGAGATCCTGCCAGCACAGCCTCACCAGCTAGGTGGTGCCATGTGCCACATGCTCATAGTCATGACGACAAAACTGGAGTCACCCCAATCAAGTGTTATTTAAAAAAACCCTGCCCCTGACATGTCAAGCATCATGTTTATACCAGCAACACTGCAAATTCTCACAAGGAATAAACAGTAGGATATTCAAGCATCTAACAGGAGACTTTCATTCGTGAGGAAAATAATACAAGTTTTTACAATTTAATCTATTTGGTTAAGAGATGTTAGCTTTTACACCAGCATTTTACTGCCTTTGA